ACCAACTGCCATTGGTTCTCCTTCAGACTTGTCTCCTGAGGATAAAATGACATAACCCAGGGCTACCCAGTATTTTGCGCCCTCCCCAGTGTGGTAAACTGCAACTCCTGCCATCTCTAAGCAACCTGGCCCAATGACCAAGGATGATGGGAGTTGCAGTTGACAACATCTGGAGGGCACCCTGTTGGGTACCCCCGACAGACCACGCTCTGAGCTTTCTTAAAATGGAGATAAGAAATGGAAGAAGCAGCATTGAGAGTGTTAACATCATCACGAGTATTTCCCATTTCTTGAGGCACTTGTGGCCCTCCAGATATTGGACTACAACTCCTGTCAGCCAGCGATTAGGGGTAATGGGAGCTGTACATAGGCGCCGACTCCATGGGGCTTGAGGGGGCCCGAGCCCCCTCAAAAATTCGTTTGGGGGGGCTCCGCCCCCCCAATAATCTCCGGCGCCCCTCCAGCAGAGCGCCATCGCCGCCCCTCCCCCAGCCCAAAATGCACAGGGAGGGGCGGGCTGCATGCCTCCTGCCCTCCCTCCCGAGCAAAAGCTCCACCCAATTTCCTTTGGAGCTGATTAATAGGCGCAGCACGCTCTCCCCTATTCGCTCACGAGGAGGCGGCGCCACTTTATTTGCATATTCATGAGCTTATTTATTATTCATGAGCTTTCCCGGGCCCCCCCAATATTTTTTATAAGTCCGCGTCCCTGGAGCTGTAATTCAACAGCATTTGGAAAGCCACAGAATCTTCAACCCTGTTCTAGCTGAAGGTGTCAAACATCCTCTTCTCTTTTTTCCTAGCTGTGAAACTCTTTCCTGCTTCTGTGAAACAAATAAAGCAACGGTGACCCTGCAACATATCAGTTCTACTAAGCAGGAGGCTACAATATCATTTAAGTGTCTTTACATTAAGCACCTTTAATTAGCTTTCTGATTGGGCACACATTGTGGTTTGTACTCTTCGGCTTTTGAAAACAAACCTTGTTTCTCAATAATCTGTGCAACTATTACTCAATGTGTACCTCTCTTCCCACTGAAGCCTGCAGAGAAGCCACAATAAACTTGCAACACAGACGTAACATCATGCACCAGAATGACTCCGCTGAGTCGATGACTTAGTGACTCAGCAATGGAAGTTCACTGCAGGACAAATGGGTAGGAACCATAAAGAAATATAGCGGGAATGGATCTGTGGCACTCACAGCCAGGGGGAGTGGGGAATGGATAATCGCAACCCAGAAAGAGGATGGATTCCCTAGGAAATTCTTGTGTGTTGTGGTGGTTAGAGCGTTGGTAAAAAGGTAAAGGATCCATGGATGGTTAAGTCCAGTCAAAGGCGACTATGGGGTTGTGTCGCTCAATTTGCTTTCAGGCCTAGGGAGCCAGCATTTGTCCACAGACAGCTTTTCGGGTCATGTGGCCAGCATGACTAAACCGCTTCTGACAGTGTTGGACTAGGACAGGTATGGCCAAACTTGGCCCTCCAGATGTTTTGTGACTACAATTTCCATCATCCCTGACCCCTGGTCCCGTTAGCTAGGGATGATGGGAGTTGTAGTCCCTAAACATCTGGAGGGCCAAGTTTGGTACCAGGGTTCAGAAACCTTAGCTGTGTGCACTATGTACCCTCAAAGCACATCGTTTCCTGCAAAGAATTCTGGGGAATGTGGTTCACCTCTCATAGTTACAATTCCCAGCAACCTTTAAGTGGAATACAGTGCCCAGAATTATTTGAGAGGAAAGAGTGTGCTTCGAATGTGCTTTAAAAGTATAGTGTGTACAGGCCCTGCTCAGCCATAAAGCTTGATGGGTGATTTTAGGTTACTCCCCCCTCACTAGGTGTAGTAAAGATAAAATTGAGAGGGGTAAACCATGTATAGCACCTTGAACTCCTTGAAGGAAAGCTGGAAAACAAATGTTAATGATGATGCCGCCACTAAACTCATCTGGGAATATCCATCTGTGCATGAATATGGCACCTTGTTTAATAAAGATTAAAAGCCAGACTCTCCCAAACTGTTAGTCAAACCCTCCTCACAGTAGACCTTCCATTCAACTAATTAAACTAAATGTTTTAAAGAGGTTTCTATTGTTTCTATTGTTTTGTTAGTTGCTACCCTGGGCTACGGCCATACTGATCTCATCTGATCTCGGAAGCTAAGCAGGGTCAGGCCTGGTTAGTACTTGGATGGGAAACCGCCTGGGAATACCGGGTGCCATAGGCTTGAGAGCCAGTGTGGTGTAGTGGTTAAGAGTGGTGGACTCATAATCTGGTGAACTGGGTTCGCGTCTCCACTCCTCCACATGCAGCTGCTGGGTGACCTTGGGCTAGTCACACTTCTCTGAAGTCTCTCAGCCCCACTCACCTCACAGTGTTTGTTGTGGGGGAGGAAGGGAAAGGAGAATGTTAGCTGCTTTGAGACTCCTTCGGGTAGTGATAAAGCGGGATATCAAATCCAAACTCCTCTTCTTCTTCAACCAATTAAACAATCATTTGCTGTAGGTCGCACTGCTGTAGTCCAAGTGGGAGATAACTAGAGCAGAAAGGTGTCTATCCCCTGCCCTCTAGTCTGGAGGTGATGTCATCAAGATGTTTGTTTCTAAATATCTAGTTACCATGTCCATTTTCTTCAAAGATAGATATTGTAAGAGTAAATACCTGAGCTTTATGTTGTGTGCTCCCCGCCCCCATACACATGAAGGGTGGGATGGGTGAGATATAAACAATCAATAAATCAGTTCTGAGTTGCACCATAATTGTCCAGCCTTAGGTGGCTGTGCTGGTCCTTCCCCAACTGTCGACCGTGGCTCCACACCACCTGTGAGGTCAGAAAAGGACATGAGGGGGGAAGAGGCCCTCCCACTTTGACATCGCTGGGCAGTGGGCTCTGTGTAGGTCTCCGGTTTGGGCCCTGAAATCTTAGGGTGTGGTGTGCTCCTGACTTGGCAACACTGCTGCTAAGGAACTGCTGGAGAATTTCTCCTCCGTCCCCTGCCTAGAACCAGGGCTGATTATTTCGAAAGTTCCTTTGCACCTTTGCTCTCCTTAAGATTCTCGTATTTGCTTTTCACGTTGTCATTATTTGATACATGGTGGTAAACTAGCTAGCTAGCTAAATAAAATCACCCCCTGAAATCATTGAACAATGAAAGCAACTATGCATTGTTTTTTAAAAAATAAAATAAATCTAAAGCATAGAATGTTTCATTCAGAATTACAGTGGTACCTCAGGTTAAGCACTTAAGTTGTTCTGGAGGCCCGTATTTAACCTGAAACTGTTCTTAACCTAAAGCACCACTTTAGCTAATGGGGCCTCCTGCTGTTGCCGCACCGCCGGAGCACAATTTCTGTTCTCATCCTGAAGCAAAGTTCTTAACCTGAAGCACTATTTCTGGGTTACCTGAAGCGAATGTAACCTGAAGCATATGTAACCTGAGGTACCACTGTAACCCAGTATTCAGAGTACACACACTCATAAAAAAACCCTTCAAGATCCAGCAGGTGGCGCACTGCTCTCACCAGAAGAAAAGCTGCTGTTTGCTCTCCAATTTATTATTGGATTTCAGAGAGACAGAGAGAGAGAAAGAGTGCGCACAAAGTAGAGCTCTGATGCTATGAGGCTTATCCTGGGACTCTCAGCTTTATTTATTCTCTTCAAAATAGATAGTTTACTCTGCTTAGGAAAGCAGTATGAATATAAACTGGCAGATGTACGAAACGTTTTACACAGCTGCAAGTTCTAGTTGACCTTACAGGTGATAAATTGTCTGTTTGAGCCTATACTGTAGTTATGTGACCTGATGGTAAATTTCACTTTTTAATCATGTGTCTCTAATGCAATTTGTAAAGGCTGCTGTTGAAGGGGTGCAAATGTGCTTTAATATTTATGGTGTGGATGTGACCTTGGTTCTGGCTATCTTGGGAGAAGGAAGCTGTGTGAAGAAGATGGAGCATATTGGGCCAGAACACATGGAAAGGAGAGGGAGAGACTCGTTTGTTTCTTACCCCACTCCCCCTAATTAATGGGTGATAGAAGGGGGAGGCAGTAGTTAAAATAAAGAAGCGTCCACCTGCATCTCAGCCACAGCAAAGGTTTCTATCCTCACCTGCATGACAGGCAGATAACACACTGCAGAGTGCCTAGGCACTAACACATCACCATCAAGACATTTCTCCTAAATGTTTAGGCATTCATTGAAATCTCCACCCATTGATTCTAACACCGTCCCCCTGGACCGACAGAGAGGAAGTCCACTCCATTCTTCTGTGTTGACAGCTCTTGGGGGTGGCTGGTGACTAGTGGGGCAGAAAGCTAGTAGACCAACAGTAGGCAGAGGCAGAGCCAATGAAGGCAGACCTTGGTTGTAGAGCAGTGTCCCAGTTGTCCTAATGGACCAGCCTCCGCTGACAGTTCTTCAGATAGTTGTATCCTCCTTAACCTTGTCTTCTCCACCCTAGCCTAAATATATTTAGCTCTTTCAACTTTTCCTCTGAGAATTTCCTTCCTTCCTTCCTTCCTTCCTTCCTTCCTTCCTTCCTTCCTTCCTTCCTTTTGTATTTTCAAAAACAGGAACACAAAGCATAGTTAACCTCCACATCCCCCTGTCCCACTTAGAACTTCGTACCAAATACAGCATGTATACATATACCATATGACTTCCCTTCCACCCTTTTCCTGGTTCCTTTGCTTTTCTACTACTCCAGGGGTCAGCAAACTTTTTCAGCAGGGGGCCGGTTCACTGTCCCTAAGGCCTTGTGGGGGGCCGGACTATATTTTGAAAAAATAAATAAAAATGAACAAATTCCTATGCGCCACAAATAACCCAGAGATGCATTTTAAATAAAAGGACACATTCTACTCATGTAAAAACACGCTGATTCTCGGACCATCCACGGGCCAGATTGAGAAGGTGATTGGGCTGGATCCAGCCCCTGGGCCTTAGTTTGCCTACCCATGTACTACTCCATGTAATCCACATCTTTTTAATATTTTTTAGGATCTGGTTTCTAGACGGCTCACCATCCCGTGATCATGCTCCAGTCAACATCCCTCTTAAAATTTGGTGCCCAAATAGACATGGTACTACAGATGCAGCATGACCAGCGCAAAATAAGGTAAGAAATTTTACTTCTTCTATTCTTCAAACAATATGCAGAGGTTTATAGGCTTTAAAAAGCACCTAAGATTAGGACTTGGGGTGGGGGGTGGGGAGAGGTGTCAGTGTTTTGTTTTTACTAAATATATATATATATACACCCCAAGGTCGAGTGATATATATATGACTTTAGGAAGACACAGCAGCAGAATAGAGTATATTTCGTAGGCATCATGTTTTTATTCTTTAAAAGAGGTTATGCTTCACAGAAACAACGGCCAAGAAGGATTAATATAGTAAAATTGCCACTTTACAAAAATACACTTTCAGAAAAATGTAGGTATTCAAAAATACAACATTCAAAACTCATTATTTACAACCAGAGGCAGCAGCAGTATTGAGCAATAAAAAAAATAAATATTTTACTTGTTACAGTATACACTAAGGTTAGACCAGGTACAAGTTTGAAGACTGACATCATCACTCAGTTCCATAACTATGTTTGAAGCTAGTCTCTTAATGAACATAAAAACATTCCTATTTCTATTTAAAAAAGCACAGCTTTTATGGAAACTTGCAGGTTTCAAACACTACATATTCCCCACTCTGGAATGGCGCTATGCCCAACCATTAAGCATCTCTGAACTCTAAGAGTTGTGCTTTCTTCTGATATAGGCATCTTACCCAATACATTCAGGATCCTTCAAATTCAATTTATTGCACTTCTGTCACATTCCATCAACAAAAAATAATAATACTCCTTTACTGGCAGAGCCATAAATTTGTGGCACCTGCTAGCACAGAATATGTGTGTTCCTTTCAGAAAGGTTCATACAAAAGATCACACAGCACAGACTTATACATAAAGTATTTCAAAACACAAATATGAAGCTTGTGGCAGCATCCAGTTAAATATATTTTTTCCCTGCAAGGCCATTTATTTTTCACATTACAATTGCACAGTACAGGCAATAGGCATGGGGCTTCAATATAAGATGATTTCAAACTATACCAGTGATTCCTTAAAGAAGGGGGAGGGGTTTAAGAAGGAACATTCCTCACATACATATAGGCATCTCTCACTCGACTTGCAGCAACAGAAGGGTTGCTGCTAATTTTACAAAGTTAAGCAAATGGCAGGACAGCAAATAAGAGGGTGACAGGTTGATCCATAAAATGAATTTTAAGGATAGGCTCTGTGACTCACAGTGCCAAATACATGAATTAAGAACCAGTTCACACATGCAGTATTTTATAATTGGTTGACTACAACATCAAAGCGATGACTTAAGCCACCCTGCATGGCTTCCAACATATACAAAACCATAATAAAACATACAGAGCTGCCTTCAGATGTCTTCTAATGGTTGTATAGTTACTTCTCTCCTTCACATCTGATGGTAGGGCATTCCACAGGTGGGTGCCACTGCTGAGAAGGCCCTCTGCCTGGTTCCCTGTAACTTCACTTCTTGCAGTGAGGGAACCGCCAGAAGGCCCTCAGAGCTGGACCTCAGTGTCCAGCCTGAACAACAGACATCTAAAGACATAGCTCTTCTTTAAATATATGTATTTAATAGTCTTATCACCCTCCCAGATTCAAAATTTCATGGAAAATTAACTTTGAAAATATATACCCAAAATTTCATTATCTAATACCCATTGTTTTCTGATATCCTCCCTTCCATTAAGAATCACAGACATATTCTACAGCCTCATTCTAATTTTTGGCACCAAAAAGTACGCAATCCAAGCTTATCCCAACAGCAGTGGTCCTTGGCTAAGATTCTGGAATATGAAACTGGACACATGTAACAAAATGCCGTTTCTAACATTTAACTATAAATTTGCATTTGAAGCATTAAATAAATGGCCACTTTTAAGGCAACATATAATGAGAACTTTAAGTTTCACAGTATATATGTTCGATTGAACGCCTCTCTTATTTGGTTAATAAAAGACCAAACAAGAAACAAATTCTATACACATTGCACCAACTAGTTTACAAAATTCTGTGGGAAATGCTTCAATGAACTTGGTCCAAGATTCTCTCTTGTTTGAAGGGTAACAGCACACGGTTTAGAACATAGAAAGTGGCCTTGTATCAGGTTGGATCATTGGTCCACAAAGCTGAATATAATCTACACCAACTGACAGCAGCTTTCTATAGTCTTGGGACCAAACTACAGCTGTGCCTTCTAGTGAAGGATTTTTAATAGAGATTTCCAGTGTGAAATGGAGGGGGCAGAGATCTGCATGGGAGCGCTAACATCCTTCCTATGGTTCCAATCTAGATTGGGTCCCCTGCTGCTGCAATTTGCAATAGGGGGGAAATTCTTATTGAAGAAAACGAGTTATTCCCCACCAATCAAAACTGCAGGAATGGGTGGAAGCAATCCAAATTGTTACCACAGCAAGGAGTAAAGGGTTTAAATCCCCTTCCCCTTCTCTCTGCTTTACTAATTTCTGTAACATCACCACCACCACCACAACTTAAATGCACAGCTCTATAGCCAACACAACAGTTAGTGTGGCTTGGTTGTAGCTGGAGATGCTAGAGAAATATGCTTCCCTTCGCAAACATTTTCTACAGTCACACAATGCTCATAATGTACCTTAGCTTAGAACAGATATACTTAGCACATTTCGGTTTTCAGGAATCCCTACCCAATATAGTAGCAATCCACTGGAGAGACATTTGTCATGCCCTGGATGGAGAGGGGGCTCATTGCTGCTGAAGGAACCTGCAGCAAGCCAGGAGGAACTTGAGAAGCTCGGTATCCCTGCAAGTGGGCATTCATGCTCCAGATCCCATGGAGATTTTCAAAGACATGCCTCTCTGGCCTGTAGTCACACTTGAAATCCCATGAGGAAGAAAGCTCTAGGCCTATGTCATGTGAGGTCTTGTGGCTTAAGTCGCAGTTCTTTAGATGACCTGGAAAGCTATTCATCTTGTGAGATTTACTGAAGGGAGGGGGGAAAGTGTGGCTCGGGCAGACAGTATATCTTAGCACAGAATAAATACGCAGAATATTACATTCAGGATTCGCTTAGAATGCAAACCTTAAATGCTCTAGTTTCTTCAGTTACTTTGCATACCATCTGCACAGACTACAAAAGTCCTAGGTGTGGTTGCATCCTGACCTTCTCCATGTTCTCTCAGTTGTGTCTTAGATGCATAAGGGCTTGCATGGCAGGGGCAAGGAGGGTGACGTCACACAGTGGAACATTGACCAGATCCCATTTTCCAGAAAAGAGAGGGAGGAGGGTAACTTTTCATTAACCAGGCAAGGCAGTCTGTGGACATCATGAACCAGCTGGAAATTAACCTTTGAACATACCAATGAAGTTAATTTCCAGTACTCTACTTTGGGCTCTTAAATACTGTGCTCTGCATCATGTGAGGTAGAGAGAGAAAGAAAGAAAAAATCAAAACAAATGCAAAACAAACAAACCAACAGAATTTCCTCCCCTTTCCTCTTCTGTGGGGGTGTGCAAATCTAAGCTTTGGAATCTTCTTGTACGTAGAGCTGAGAAATGGTCTTCTTAATGCGAAGCGCTGTCAGTCGAGCTGCCCCATTGGCGTACCAGCACTCACGCATGATCCGGCCCATTACTCTGAGTGCCTTGAGAAAAGAGCAAAAGCAGAGTAAGATGCATATATATGTGTGTGTGTGTGTGTGTGTGTGTGTGTGTGTGTGTGTATATATATATATATATATATATATATATATATACACACACGTTATTGTATTTGAACTTGGAACCTTTCTGCTCACGCAACAAGACTGTGCTGCCTGCCCCCACCCACAGGTCCCTGCACCCCTGAAAAAGTGCTTCTGAGGAGCTGGGAGACCCTATAGGAACACCATGGCAGGGCAAAGAGGGCTGCAAGCAGGAAAGGGGAAAATCAATGGAAATTTGGGGAGGGGGCTTGCAAAAGAACTTCTGCTCATGGAAATACACTTTAATTGGGGTTATACCATTGGGGTGGCAAGTTCTATAGGGAGCATATCCACAATCGCTACTGATTTATCACCAGAAATATGCTCTGATGTACTCTTTTCTGCTGTGCACGTGTTGATATAATTCCTCAAGTTTACTGTCAGTAGTTAACTTTTTTTTAGATCATCACCAAGGCTCAAGGTCTGTCTGCAAGCCATGCTTTTGACGAAAGACTGAAATTCTTTTGAGCAGTAAGCCCCTGTGTGCTTAGTGCAATTACGTAACTTCTTAGTAGACGTACCGTATTTTTTGCACCATAGGACGCACTTTTTCCCTCCTAAAAAGCAAGGGGAAATGTGTGTGCGTCCTATGGAGCGAATGCAGGCTTTCGCTGAAGCCTGGAGAGTGAGAGGGGTCGGCGCGCACCGACCCCTCTCGCTCTCCAGGCTTCAGGAAGCTATCCGCTAGCCGTGGGAGACCCAGCTCTCCCAGGGCTAGCGAAGCGCCGCGCTAATCCCGAAGCTTGGGGCGTGCGGAGCTCAGCGCGCCCCAAGCTTCTGGGTGCCGGCTTGGGGCGTGCTGAGCTCCGCACGCCCCAAGCTTCGGGATTAGCGCTCCGCTAGCCGTGTCTAGGCTGCGGATAGCAGCCTGCTTCCCGGAGCTTCGGGCGCCCTGAAAGCAGAGCGCCCGGCGCTTCGGGAACACATCCACAGTGTGGGGACCCTTGCAGGAGTTCCCCACAGGGCTCCCCACACTGCAGATAGCAGCCTGCCGCCCGGCGCAAGTGGCGCCCTGAAGCAGAGCGCCCCTCGCACCAGGCATACATTCGCAGCGTGCGGAGCCCTGCTGGAGTTCCCCACAGGGCTCCCCAAGCTGTGGATAGCAGCCTGCCGCCCGGCGGGTGGGGCGCCCTGAAGCAGAGCACCCCTCGTGCCAGGCATACATCCGCAGCATGGGGACCCTTGCAGGAGTTCCCCGCAGGGCTCCCCACACTGCAGATAGCAGCCTGCTGCCCGGCGCGAGGGGCGCTCTGCTTCAGGGCGCCCCTCGCACCAGGCATACATTCGCAGCGTGCGGAGCCCTGCTGGAGTTCCCCACAGGGCTCCCCAAGCTGCGGATAGCAGCCTGCTGCCCAGCGCGAGGGGCGCCCTGAAGCTGAGCGCCCCGCGCGCCAGGCAGACATCAGCCAGCCCCACAAGCTCGGGGGACAGCAGGGAGGCGCAGTGCCACTATCCCGCTGTTCCTCGACCTGGTTCGGTTTCCCGGACCTGCTTTTGGGGGGGAAATAAAGGGAATGGTTTTTCCCTTTATTCCCCCCCCCCAAAACTAGGTGCGTCCTATGGTCCGGTGCGTCCAATCGTGCGAAAAATACGGTATTTTGCTGGAAATCCTACATATATTTTTTTATGGGGTGCAGGTATGTGATAGTCACTTGGTCATGAGGACAGGATTTTCAACACCTGATTGAGGCACTACATTTAATACTCTTTTATCCCAGAGTTAAGCCTGTGCTGGGGAGCCAAGAGCTGCATTCTGTAGGCGAAGAGTGGTTGGGGGGGGGGTCACCTGATGAGCTGCATATAAATATTATTGTTATTGTTATTATCATCAGAGTGGGTTGCCCCAGCCACTCTGGGTGGCTCCCAACAAAATATTAAGAACAGAATCAAACATTAAAAACTTCCCTATACAGGGCTGCCTTCTACCAAGAAGGCCCTCTGCCTGGTTCCCTATTGGGCAAAAAGTGGGTGGGACCAAAGGAAAGGTGGCTGGGATACCATTTTTCTCTCTTCTTCACACATACTCTCTTAAACCCACCCACCCACAGACACTCAAACTCTTCCCAATCCTTCCATCATCCATGCATTCTCTCTCTCTAGGTTTGGAGGGCCGCATCGAAGGAAAGTCGCATGATGTCCTCCTGTGGATTAAACTCTGGCATTTGAAAGGCCTCTAGGGGTGAACTGCGCCTCACATTGAGCCCATTTACTTAACCAGACAGGTATATGCAAGCATTTGGGGGGGTAAGTTTTCATATTTTAGTTCAGTTAAAAACATGCACTTTTAAGATACACAGTAAAAGTTGCAGTTCAAAGAAGGCGCGAAGCAAGAGAAAATGTTACCTCACAGCTTTGCCACTGATTTGGGATATTTGGTCTATGTTTTTGCTCACAGACTACTTTTCTCATATCTTCTATTGAAGGATCAGAAGGCACAGCATCATAGTAAGGTAACTGGTACTCCTCAACAATTCCTAGAAGAGGAATGTGGTAAAAATATAAATTTACTAGGGGACTTTCAGTTGTTATGGGAGCAAAACATGGACAGATGTAGTACAGAAACGGCTTCCTGGCACACCTGGGCAAATATCCATTGTGTCAGCAAATATATTCTTGAAAACATTGTGCTTTTTCCAAATGCTTCGGTAAAAAAAAAATCTGTAAAGCCGCATCCATGAAGTATTCAGAAACTTATTTTCATTTAGGGCTACATGGGAAAGTTCTTGAAATTGCAGGCAATCATTCCTGTCAAACTAGCTCTGCAGTACCCACAATTCGTTCTGTCAGCTTGTTAAGGGGCAGGTGAAGACCCAATATGGGCTAATACAACTCTGGCTTGGATCCAAAGAATGAGAGGTAAAAGGAGATGATGCATTTCAGTGGGGGAAATGTAATAACGCAACCTATTATATAATGCAATATGACAACCCCTTATGTTGGAGCCGTAGCCCAGCTCTATGGTTTTACAATCCAGTGGGGATGAGGAAGGGATCGCGAGGGCCATCTAGTCCTACCCTTTGCAATGCAGGAATCCTGTCCACAGGATTGAACCCCCAACCTTCCAGTTAATAGCCAGATGCACTGACCCAGAACTCTCAAAGACGAAAGAAAGCATTGCACTTGAGCTAGATGCAAGCCTGTGGTTGTGGAAGAGTTTGGGGGTGTTTGTGTGGAGTTCATATGCTGTGCTTTAATTAGTATGGCAATGTGTTTGATGCAGGAAGTCTTGGTCAAGTTGGGTAACCTTAAGTGACAGCTGAGATAGGGGTTGGAGATTGAACTCTCAGTATGCAAAAGGAGGGGAGAGAGCGTGCACATTGCGGTGGAGGGTTGCAGGTTTGGAATTCCACAATAGATGGTGTGATGGGCTGGGGCTAGAAGGGGCGGCAGAAGAAGTGTCTATATGTTTGGGTGCTGGTTGGTCCATGTGGGTTTGTGCTGGTGTTCTTGGTTGGCAGCCAGAAGAAGAAGACAGCAAAGAGGAAGAGGATCAAGGAAGAAGAAAGGAGACCTGAGAGGAAGACCAAGTGGTTTGATGGCTGAAGATTTGCTGGGGTAGCTGAATCACTTGACAGGGAGAACTTGTCTACAGGGGCGAGAGGAGTTGGAAATGCTAGGCTCTGGCGCCTAGTAGGAGCTCCAGAGGAAGGTCTTCCAAGACAAGACAGCAGAAACAGACCCACACTTCAATAGGTGAGTAGGGGTTAAAACAGAGGCTTCAACAGAGGCTTCAGTCATAGTGTTGAGGGCTTACCGTATTTTTCGCCCTATAAGACACACTTTTTCCCCTTCAAAAATGAAGGGGAAATGTGTGTGTCTTATGGGGCGAATGCAGACTCCTTGGCTTCAGCGATAGCAACGCGAAGCCTCCGAAGCCTGCACTCCGGAGGCTTTGCGTTGCTTCCGCTGAAGCCAGGAGAGTCTGCTCTTTGAGGCTGGCGGTGGGGGAAAGCAGCGCTTTCCCCACCGCCAGCCCCAGAGGATGGGGGGCAGCGGGAAGGTGCGTGACGCCTTCCTGCTACTCTCCAACCCTCCTTTCGGCTTTTGCGGGAGATGGGGGAATTCCCCCATCTCCCGCAAAAGCAGGCAAAAGCCTTGCGCTCTTTAAAGGGGCTCCGCGGCTTCTGCTGGCTTTTCTACGAGGGGGGGGAATTCCCCCACCTCCTAGAAAAGCCCGCAGGAGCCGCACACCCTTAAAGAGCGTGCCGCTCTTGGGGGCTTTTCCCCGAGGAGGGAGAAGGGACTGACTGGCAGAGTCAGTCCCTCCTGCGGGCTTTTGCGGGAGATGGGGGAATTCCCCCACCTCCCGCAAAAGCCTCGCGCTCTTTAAAGGGGCTCTGCGGCTTCTGCTGGCTTTTCTACGAGGGGGGTAATTCCCCCACCTCCTAGAAAAGCCCGCAGGAGCCGCGCACCCTTTAAAGAGCGTGCCGCTCTTGGGGGCTTTTCCCCGAGGAGGGAGAAGGGACTGACTGGCCGTTTCAGTCCCTTCTCCCCTCCTGGTCGAAAAGCCCGCAGGAGTCACGCGGGGCTCCTGTGGGCTTTTGCGGGAGGTGGGGGAATTCCGCCACCTCCCGCAAAAGCAGGGAGGTCTTGGAGTAGCGCACAGGCTGCGTGCAGCCTGTCCACTGCTCCCAGAGCTGCGGGGGGGGGGGGGGAATCATATTTTTTCCCATGATTTCCCCCACTGAAAACTAGGTGCGTCCTATGGGCCAGTGCGTCCTATGGGGCGAAAAATACGGTAATTAACAAGGGCAATTGCCAGAGGCTGTATGGTATTGGTAACAGTCGTGTAAAAGCTGTTGGTATTGAACGTGACAGTAACAAATTAGCAAAGTGTGTAATTTGAAGCTCGCACACTACGCAATCTTACTATATTGACAATATTAACATTTAATTTATAGTAACTATATACAACTGGCTTTATCTCATAGTTACCAGGATTACTGGTAAGTTAAGGGTACAAGCGATATTAAATGGTAGCAGAAGTACAGGTGCAGGAAAACTATTGGGCATGGAAGTTGGTTTTGTTTAAGGAAGGAAATACCCTCTTTCCCACCACAGGGAACCACCGAGAGAAGTTTGATTCAGGACAACAATCAAATCGTAGATGGCTTTTGGTTTTACCAATCCTGAAGCAGCAGCTGAATGGCCTACTAGGGTGTCATTTTATTAATTTCTTAAATTGATATACTGCCCTTCAACCAAGGATCACTGTTCTCTTTATAGTTGCATTTTATACATATGATATTTGGAACTCAATGCTCTTCTGTTATTAAAGGTAAAGGGACCCCGGACCATTAGGTCCAGTCGTGGCCGACTCTAGGGTTGTGGCTCTCATCTCACTTTACTGGCTGAGGGCGCCGGCGTACAGCTTCTGAGTCATGTGGCTAGCATGACTAAGCCGCTTCTGGCGAACCAGAGCAGTGCACGGAAACGCTGTTTACCTTCCTGCCGGAGCGGTACCTATTTATCTACTTGCACTTTGACGTGCTTTCGAACTGCTAGGTGGGCAGGAGCAGGGACCAAGCAACGGGAGCTCACCCCGTCACAGGGATTCGAACCGCTGACCTTCTGATCGGCAAGTCCTAGGCTCTGTGGTTTAACCCACAGCGCCAGCCCACGTCCCTTATTACAATGCTACATTTTGTAAGCCTTACCTGGTGAAAGAAGGTATATGTTCTTAAAATTAAATAAAGTACCAGTTGTGCAATTTCCTATTCTCCAGTCTCCCCACTATTCCTTTCCTCCTCACCGATTATTTCAGTCACTCATAAGTCGCCTTTAAACAGTGTTATTTGTCTAGAAAAAAGAGCTGCCCTTCTTTTTTTATAATGGCAATGGTGCACAACTGAGAGGTACCAGGAAAGAAAAAAAAACCCTGCCTTTAGGTATTATTCATGTGAGGGAGCATCACACTACAGTGGTACCTCGGGTTAAGAACTTAATTCGTTATGGAGGTCCGTTCTTAACCTGAGGTAGCACTTTAGCTAATGGGGCCTCCTGCTGCCGCCACCTGATTTCTGTTCTCCTCCTGAAGCAAAGTTCTTGACCCGAGGTACTTTTTCTGGGTTAGCAGAGTCTGTAACCTGAAGCATCTGTAACCTGAGGTACCACTGCATGTCTAGGACACAAAGCACCCCCATCCCCGCAAGCAAAGGGGATCTTCTTCAGATGCCTGCATTGGTACAGCTAGTCACATGTGATGCTACAGCAGCATAGCTCTGCTCCCTAGTCATAGTGTGAGACCCTTCTTCCCATGTGTAACACATACTTCCACAACCCTATTCCTGTGTTGGAAACCACACTGAGTGCCAAGCAAACAGGATAAAACATGTCCCTGTTTTTATGCTATCTAAGAATAGTTTTAAAACATAATGGCAGGGGTCTGGAGCATTAAAAAGAGAGAGACATAGGTTATACCTCCAACTGAGCATCTTCGGGATATCTCCCAGTACACCAGCCCAAGAGAGTAGATATCTGCACGCTTGAAGGACTCGAAGATACTTATGTTCATCGTGTCATCAAGTATTTCTGGAGCCATGTACCTTTCAAATACAGAGATACCAAAACTCATATTTACCAAAGAGGTAGAAAGGGGTGTGTTTAGTTAACTAGGATTAAAATTAAGGGACAACAAATAAAAATGAAATACAAATGTGGTATTTTTAGAACACTGAACTTGTTTGAGAGAAAGCAGAAGATTCGAGGCATTCTTGTTAGGTCTCCCAATTCCTGGGAGTTGGTCTTTAGTCCTTCTCATGAGATCAACATTTACCGTATTTTTCGCACTATAGGACGCACTTTTTCCCCTCCAAAAATGAAGGGGAAATGTGTGTGCGTCCTATGGTGCGAATGCAGGCTTTTGCTGAAGCCTGGAGAGCGAGAGGGGTCCGTGCGCACCGACCCCTCTCGCTCTCCAGGCTTCAGGAAGCTATCCCAAGTCTTGCAAGCCCGGCGGGATGTCCCGCGGGCTCGCAAGGCTTGCGGGCAGCAGCCTGCACCCAAAAGCTGGGGACAGCGGGGAGGCGCAGAGCCGCCACCCCGCTATTCCCCGACCTGATCTGGAGGCTGGCGGGGGGAGAAGCAAGCCTGCTTCTCCCCCCCCCAGCCCCACAAGCTCGGGGGATAGGGGGATGGCGAAGCGCCGCCATCCCGCTATTCCCCGACCTGATCTGGAGGCTGGGGGTGGGAGAAGCAAGCCTGCTTCTCCCCCCCCCAGCCCCACAACCTCCAGATCAGGTCGTGGAATAGCGGGATGGCGGTGCTCCGCCATCCCGCTATTCCCCGACCTGAACTGGAGGCTGGGGGTGGGAGAAGCAAGCCTGCTTCTCCCCCCCCTCAGCCCCACAACCTCCAGATCAGGTCGTGGAATAGCGGGATGGCGGCGCTCCGCCATCCCGCTATTCCCCGACCTGAACTGGAGCCTGGGGGCGGGAGAAGCAAGCCTGCTTCTCCCCCCCCCAGCCCCACAACCTCCAGATCAGGTCGTGGAATAGCGGGATGGCGGTGCTCCGCCATCCCGCTATTCCCCGACCTGAACTGGAGGCTGGGGGTGGGAGAAGCAAGCCTGCTTCTCCCCCCCCCCAGCCCCACAACCTCCAGATCAGGTCGGGAAATAGCGGGATGGCGGCGCTCCGCCATCCCGCTATTCCCCGACCTGATCTGGAGGCTGGGGGTGGGAGAAGCAAGCCTGCTTCTCCCCCCCCCTCAGCCCCACAACCTCCAGATCAGGTCGTGGAATAGCGGGATGGCAGCACTCCGCCATCCCGCTATTCCCCGACCTGAACTGGAGCCTGGGGGCGGGAGAAGCAAGCCTGCTTCTCCCCCCCCCCAGCCCCACAACCTCCAGATCAGGTCGTGGAATAGCGGGATGGCGGTGCTCCGCCATCCCGCTATTCCCCGACCTGATCTGGAGGCTGGGGGTGGGAGAAGCAAGCCTGCTTCTCCCCCCCACCAGCCCCACAACCTCCAGGCTTCAGGAGAGCCCCACCGCCAGCCCCACAAGCTCGGGGGACAGCGGGAGAGGCGCAGCGCGCCCTTCCCGCTGCCCCTCGACTTGGCTGGAAGGCTGGCGGGGGGAGAAGCCTGCTCCTCCCCATCGCCAGCCCCGCAAACTCGGGGGACAGCGGGAGAGGCGCAGCGCGCCCTTGCCGCTGCCCCCGACTTGGCTGGAAGGCTGGCGGGGGGAGAAGCCTGCTCCTCCCCGTTGCCAGCCCCGCAAACTCGGGGGACAGCGGGAGAGGCGCAGCGCGCCTTTCCCGCTGTCCCCCGACTTGTCTAGAAGGCTGGCGGGGGAGAAGCCTGCTCCTCCCCGTCGCCAGCCCCGCAAACTCGGGGGACAGCGGGAGAGGCGCAGCGCGCCTTTCCCGCTGACCCCCGACTTGTCTAGAAGGCTGGCGGGGGGAGAAGCCTGCTCCTCCCCGTCGCCAGCCCCGCAAACTCGGGAGACAGCGGCAGGGGCGCAGCGCGCCCTTCCCGCTGTCCCCCGACTTGGTTAGAAGGCTGGCCCAGCCCCGCAAACTCGGGGGACAGCGGGAGAGGCGCAGCGCGCCATCCCGCTGTCTCCCAACATGGTTTGGAGGCTGGCGGAAGGCTTCCTCCTCCCCCAGCCCCGCAAGCTCCCAGAGCGATGCCAAAGCTGCGCGCAGCTTTGGCATGGCTTTGGGTCCCGTTCTGGGGGAGGGGGAAGCTCGGGCTTCCCCGCCCCAGCCCCGCGCCTGGCGGGGGGGGGAATAAATTTTTTTTGCCTTTATTTCCCCCCCCCCCAAATCTAGGTGCGTCCTATGGACCGGTGCGTCCAATAGTCCGAAAAATACGGTATGTATTATGAAAACATTAAAGAGGGAGGCAGGATCTCAATAACTGATCCTGATCCCTTGGACCTGTGCACATTCAGTAGACCATCAGAACAGTACTGCCTAGTTTGTACATCACACTAAGTCAAACCATGGCTGCCAAAGAGGCCACTTCACTTGTACCTGGCAGTTCTACGGTGGTACTGTGCTGAACTAAGCCATGACTTGACTTAGTGTATTGTCTGAACCGGGGCTCATGCGTTAACTCTCTCCAAATTAACCATATGCTACAACTAAGGTTTTTCCTATGACTTACAGCTTATGGTTTGTCCAGGAGATTGTAAACCATGAGCTTGGGTTCAGATAACACAGTAAAGCAAACCTTGAGCTCAAGTCATCTCAAAGCAACTGCAGGAATCCTGGTTTATTTGCTTCTCCCCCTGCCCTTCACAGCACAGGAAATAGTGAGGGCAAAACTGCAAGCTGCATTAACCTGCTGTTTAGCACTGCACGAGTTTTTCCTTTCTTTTAGCAAAGCAGCTCCAGAGCTGGGCCTGTCAGGAGGGAAGCTCTGACTGGCACACTACAGCTTTTCTTTGAGGGGAACTTGGTGTGGGGTAAAGGGTTAATTCCATCCTACCTGATCGTCCTGTCCCTGCCCTCAGTGGCTGCTATTTTAAAAGAGAGCATGCACACACACACAGCAGTAACATACACATATTTTGCAATGTGTCATTTGGCCGTAATAAAGGCAGATATGCAGTGAGCCTTGAGTAATACAACATTAAATTTTGAAGGATTCTTGGCTACTGGTATCTTGATTCTCATTTGCCTAGTTACACATGTTGCTGCATGTCGTGTGGACAAATCTGAGTGAGGGCAACATATTTCACCCCGTTTCACCAGCCCCTTCAAATATCTCTGAAACAAACTGGGGATGGGGAGACATTTCACAGGGGGAAAGGTTTTGGGGTTTTTTTTGCCATATGCATGTAGAGTTCCAACTCAACCCTCTTGGGTGTGAAATATTTAATGGGAAATATTACAAGCATACTGACTTACCTCTTGGTTCCCACTCTAGAATTCTGAGGTATGTCAATTGTGTTCAACAGAGAGTCGTGCTTGACAGCCAGTCCCAGGTCAGCAATGGCACAGGTTTCATTCCTTTTGACTAAAATGTTTTTAGATTTCAGATCTCTGTGGGAAATGGCTGGTTTGCCTGCGAAGCACAAAAAATATGCCCACAATGTCTTTACGTTACCCACTGATATGTTTAACAGAAACGTTCGTTGCGTGTATGTAAATGTAAGCCACAAAAATTCAGAAGTAATGTCTTCTGCTCATACGACTTTTTTTCAGCTCTTGTTTTAACACTCAAAAGTTTATCACCCTATCCTGGACAGCAGGGCTGGGGAAGCTTTTTTCCATCGAAGGGTAATGCCAGCAGCAGGTGGGGCTAGAACAATGCACACAAACTCTCTTTTGCTGTCTTAAGAAGGGG